CATTTTGAGACGGGATATTCGGGAGTTCACTGCGAACTCCTCGTATCGGACATTTGCTGAGCTTCAGGCAAATGCCCGGAAGAGGGAGATTGAGCTTGAGACTCAGGCCAGGGAGGAGGCGGAGTCTCTGGGGAGGATCGGCGGCCGGCACAGCTTCAGCCGGCAGCCAAGCGGCCAAGCCCGCTGATCCCAAACCCGGGAGCCAGAAGGGCCGCACTTGCGGGAAGTGCGGCAAGGGTCACGATGGAGTCTGTCGAGCAGGATCTTGCTACAAATGTGGCAAGGAGGGGCATATGGCCAAGGACTGCCCCAAGGGGTTTGCAGTGTGTTTTCACTGCAACCAGACGGACACCGGAAGGCGGAGTGTCCGCTGCTGCGTGGAGCATCTCAGGGATCTGCTCCCGCCGCCATCAGAGCTACAGAGAGTCGGCCCGTGAAGGCCGAGGCACCGAGAGCTCGAGGGAGAGCCTTTCAGCTGACTGCGGAAGAGGTCCGCGCTGCACCCGACGTTGTGGCTGGTACGTTTCCTTTTATATATCTATTTTTGGTGTTGAGATATTATGCTTATATCATGCTATGCATAGGTACCTTCCTTGTGAACTCTGTGCCTGCTTTAGTGTTATTTGACTCGGGTGCGAGTCGGTCTTTTGTATCTTTGGCCTTTAGTCAGCATATCAGTGTTAGTCGTGAGGCATTGAGTCGGCCTCTGCGGGTTTCCATAGCCGCCGACAGAGTGATTTGTGCCACGGAGGTCCTCCGGGGATGTGTGTTAGAGATTTTTGGGGTTGAGTTTCCGATCGATCTGGTTCCTATTGCGATGGGTGATGTCTGTGTCATAGTGGGCATGGACTGGTTGAGCCGATTCGGCGCGGTTATCGACTGCGAGCGTCAGCTGGTGACCATACGAGATCCTGGTGGGGGAGTTCTTTCGGTATACGAGGGTACACGTTCTGGATCAGCCTTTTGTTCGGCCGCTAGGGCGAGGCAGTGTTTACAGCAGGGCTGTAAAGGTTTTGTGGCGTATGTGATGGATACGCGAGTGATCTCCGAAACCAAGTTCAGTGGATGAAGTTCCGGTGGTGCGTGAGTTTCCAGATGTTTTTCCCGAAGAATTACCAGGTGTGCCTCCCGTGAGGCAAGTGGAGTTCGGTATCGATTTGGTTCCGGGAGCCGCGCCTATCGCTAAGGTGCCTTATCGCCTTGCACCTCCAGAGATGCAAGAGTTATCCTCGCAGCTTCAGGAGCTGCTGGGGAAGGGGTTTATTCGGCCGAGTAGCTCGCCGTGGGGAGCACCCATTCTGTTTGTGAAGAAGAAGGACGGCTCGCATCGAATGTGTATTGATTACCGAGAATTGAATAAGCTGACGGTCAAGAACCGTTACTCGTTGCCAAGGATCGACGATTTATTCGATCAGTTGCAGGGAGCATCTTGGTTCTCCAAGATTGATTTGAGGTCGGGCTATCATCAGGTGAGAGTGCGGGACGAGGACGTCCAGAAGACAGCATTCAGGACGCGTTATGGGCATTATGAGTTCGTGGTGATGCCTTTTGGGCTCACCAATGCCCCGGCTGTGTTCATGGACCTCATGAACCGGGTATGTAGGCCGATGTTGGATCGGTCGGTGATTGTGTTCATCGATGATATTCTGGTGTATTCGAGATCTAGAGAGAAACACGAGGAGCATTTGAGGGAGGTTCTTGGAGTTTTGAGATCGGAGAAACTTTATGCAAAGTTTTCCAAGTGCGATTTCTGGTTGCGGGAGGTCCAGTTTCTGGGGCACGTCGTTAATCAGAAAGGGATATTGGTCGATCCGGCCAAGGTTGACGGGTGATGAGGTGGGAGGTGCCAAAATCACCTTCTGAGATCAGGAGCTTCCTTGGGTTGGCAGGGTACTATCGGAGGTTTATCAAGGATTTCTCCAAGATTGCAGTGCCACTCACCAGATTGACCCGGAAGGGTGTTACATTTTTATGGGGTCCCGAGCAGCAGACCTCCTTTGAGACGCTTCGCCAAAGGTTGTGTGAAGCTCCGGTTTTAGCTCTTCCGGAAAGGGATGGAAGATTTTGTGGTATTCTGTGATGCATCAATTTTAGGGCTGGGAGCGGTGCTGATGCAGAAGGGACATGTGATAGCATATGCATCGAGGCAGTTGAAGCCTCATGAGACGAGGTACCCCACACATGATTTGGAGTTGGGGGCGGTGGTGTTCGCTCTCAAGATTTGGCGGCACTACTTGTATGGGGTTCGTTGTACGATATACACGGACCATAAGAGCTTGAAGTACTTGATGGATCAGCCTAACCTAAATATGCGGCAAAGGAGGTGGTTAGATGTAGTCAAGGATTATGATTGCGAGATTTTGTACCACCCGGGCAAGGCTAATGTGGTAGCCGACGCATTGAGTCGCAGGGCGAGAGTACTCCACTGCGAAATGTATGTTTGAGATTGACCGTGATAGCTCAGTTCTGGACGCCATTCGTGGGGCACAGGCCGAGGCTGTGCATCCGGAGATGCAGAAGAGAGAACGGGTCGTTGGTTTGGTTTCTGAGTTTGTGTCGGATAGTCGAGGGCTTATGACTTATCAGGGCCGGATTTGGGTACCGTTTGTGGGCGGTACGCGTACTACGTTGATGGAGGAAGCTCATAGATCGAAATTTTCGATCCATCCCGGGGCTACAAAGATGTACTTAGATCTGAGGAAAGAATATTGGTGGCCTTGTATGAAGAGG